TGTGGGATCTTGTGCAGCTGCTCACCTTGCTCATCCTCAACGTCGCACCTGACAAATGTACACATAAAAGTGGCATTTTTGCAATTGCAAAAAAAATTTTGATTTTTAAACGAAATAAAGAAGATGAAGAAAGAAAAATTGATTGGTGATTTAATGATTTCTTAAATAACGACTAAGATTATTAAAAAATATATATATTTATAATGAGGAAAACTGTATTTATAATTATAATCATCTTTTAAAAAATAGATAATGAATTATAATAAACAATGAAACAATGGGGAAAAAACCTAAATATGATTAGAAGCCCATGACTGATCAAACTTTGTAGAATGCACTTCCAATATACATTTTAATAGAGTTAAAAGATAATAATTAACCAAAAATTTAGATCACGGGAGACTTTAGTCCAGCGTTGTCCACATGGATTAGCTGTCCAGTCACTATTAGGTTCGATTCAGGCTTTGTGAGTTTTTGGAAAAGTTAGTGCTAAAATAATAAACCAGAAGTTTAAATAATAGGAAAAATACAAAGATGGCTCCAAGTCTCCAATAATGGAATGAGTGGTAAAGAACAAACGAACGGTAGCCAAAACAAATAAAGGGACTAAAATTAGTATGTGGCTGTAAAATCTTTAGCATCAAAGACGAAACCATCTCCAATGTTTAGATGTTTATCTAATTAGACAAACTAACATTTAACTGGTTTGGTTTACAATTAGGGTTGTATATAGTTTGATTTACTTTTGAAATGTAACTGTTAGAATTTAACAGAGTATTGAATTCAGGCAAGATTTGAATAATTTGTGAAGTTTTCCGTTGTTATATGTTAGTATTTATTAAAACTTTTATCAAATAACAGTTGAGATCATTATGTAGAGTACTAGATTTTGACCCACGTCAAGAGTGAGATTAAATACTTAAAAATATTTTTAATCGATCTTAACACTTAGATGTGTATTATAATATTTATAAACGTACAAAATGATATATATTTTGCATAAATGTAATAAAGTTAAATTTTGATCAAACATATTTTGATGTCATTGTTTTGATCAACTTTACATAAAAATATTAAAACTAATACAAATGTTTCAATTTTTTGAAAGTGTAAAATCAATTTTTATTATTTGTGTAAATAAAGTATGCGATAAATCAAATGAATCTTTAAATTTTTATGAATTTAT